CACTCCCCCATCCCTTCAGTGTGGAGAGAGGTTTCTTCAGCAGGGGTCCAAGGCAGCAAAAAGAAAGCCTGGGGCTGGGGGCTGCCCCCTCCCGCAGTGCACCAAGCCCCAAACCGCAGGAGAATCACCATGAGGCAGGACCTTGTCAAAGCACACGAGATTCAGCTGCCCACAGATGTTGATCCTCTGGGGGCTGATGCAGAAGATCCCAACCTTCTTCAGCCGCCGCTGCGCGTACACAATCCCTGCCGTCAGGGCAGCAGGAAGAGCCGGCGGGACCGTGATGGTGATGATGTCCAGAGACTCAATGATGATGGTGTTGGCAGGAACCTGGAAGAAAGCAAGTCCAGCAGAATGGGCTGGAATTAAACCTGCCAAAGGCCGCCTGGCCTCCAGCCACGCTGCTCCTCGCCAGGGCTGGGAAAGGTCCCGGCTCAGTCCCCAACGAAAGCGCCCACAGCTTTAGAAACTGGGGGAGGGCAACCCAGTTTGCTGCAGGTGCCCCCAGCGCTGGTGAGCACAGCCTGCCAGAGCCACCCGGCAGGTTACGTGTGCAAGCAGCCGAGCCCGGCCCAGCAGGCGGCTCTGTGACCAGGATAGACATCGCCCGCAGCAGTGCCTTGTGTGATGGTGGCACCCGAACGGTTGATCCAGCCTCTGCACCATTTGCTCTGCACCAGGCAGGCTTTGACGGAAGCCCCACCCATGAGCGCCCCACCGCACCAAGAGGTTTCTACCTGGTGAAGAATGCTGATGACAATTGTGTACAGGAACCCAATGCCTGCCACCCCCACCAGGCAGAGCAAAAACAGGTAGGCCTCCCTGTAGAGCTGAAAATCCGTGGGCTTTGGATACAAGATGGAGCGGACCAGCTGCCCTTTCGAAGTGCTGAAACCTGCAACCAGGAGGATTTCCAAAGAACGGATCAGAAGGGAAGCCTGTTCCATGCCTCGGCCACAGCCTGGTAAGGAAGCTACGAAGGGGCCCTAGAGGCCGCCACCGCCAACCCTGAGGAGCCAGAGCCGCTGGGCAGGCAGGTGCAGCCGGTGGCCCAGAGCAGCTCCATCTTGGCGAAAGCGCTCCTGCAAAAGGAGACACCGAGCCTCATCTTCCAGGGGAACAGAGGGCAGAGAAGAAAGGTCTCCATTACTAGATCAAAACAATCTCCGTGGAGCCACCGGGTGTCTGGAGCCATTCCTTTTTGGGGGGGGGGGTGGCAGGGGTGGAGAGTTCCATGGAGCTTCACCAAAAGGGGAGGGTCAGAAGGCGTGGCCTGTTTCTCCTGTGCTGGGACTGCCAAGGGAGGCGCTGAGGGCCAGGGCTGCGCTGTCGAGCGAAGGCAAGCCAGACCCAGAGAGGCTGCTCTGCAGCTGTTCAGCAAGGTCCTCAGAGGGATTCTGGGGCCCACAACTGAGAGAGCCCACAGGCTGCCCACAGGTCTGTGGCAAAGAACTCCCCACCCCCCAAGGAGGGCATCTAGGCAGCCAGTCAAAGGGGCCTTGCTGTGGGGCAAGCGGTTGATCAGCGCCGAGGGAGCTGGACATTACGATGGGGAGCTGCGCTGGGGGAAAGAGACAGCAAGGGGTGGGAAGCGCCATCTGGGAGACCAGGAACCTCCTTCCCGCCCAGCCCTTGGTGTACCTGTTCTGATGACCACAGCCTTGACGAGCTCCCCAGTATAGAAGCGGGTCTGAATGACCGTTGTGCCACAGAAGAGCGTGTGCCTCCGGTGCCCGTCTGGGCAGTACACCTCACCCTCCAGGGCCTGGGAGTCCTTGGACGGATTGGGCAGGTTGGTCTTGGTGACAGGGACGCTCTCACCTTGATGAAGAAGAAGCCCGCTCATTGCTCACGCCACCTGCAGTGTTGCAGCCTGACCCCGGCCCAGAGCAAGCACACCATCAACTCACCCGTCAACATGCTTTCGTTGACGATGCAGGTTCCGCTGAGAAGCACTGCATCGCAGGGCATGATCATTCCACGGAGCGGGACCACGATGACGTCCCCGGGCACCAGGTCCGTGGAAAGAACCTCTTCCACACCTGAAGGGCAGGAGAGGTCTGCAAGCGGACAAACCACCAACCCCCCTCTGCCCCCGTGCGGTCCACCGGCCAGCAGAGAACAGCTAGCAGAGACTCTGGGTGGGGCATGGTGCTGGGAGAGCAACCCTTATGGGAGAAGCCAGTACTGCGTACACTTGGCAGCAACCAGCAGTGGTCTTCCCAGAATGTCCGCAAGCCAAGAACAGACCTCCACCCAGGGCCCTCTCTTTGGACGGAACCCAACTCCAGGGAGCCAGGTCCGAAATGTTTACGCGTGGCTTTGGAAAGCTCCCTCCGCGCCACCCCCATGGCAGCTTGCACATCGGGAGGAGTTTAAACAGGAATCCATAGTTGCCCCCCCAACCCCCCCTCACACCCCCTCAGCCAAACTGCCTGTCCCCGGCCCATCCTACCGTGGTCTGCTCTGCTGATGGACACCCTGATGATGCTGTGAGTTGCCACCATGTCATGCAGCATCGTGTATTGCTGAAGGGAGAAGAAAAGGTTGCCAGCCAGATGCCCCAGGCCTGGTCAAGCAATCCTTCAGCCCAGCCACCCCACAAGCCAAAAGGGAATCCAGGAAGGGAAAGGAGCTCCTGCTGGCCAGCCTGCAATGGGTAGCATCGCTCTTGGAGACGCACGGTCCCGCTGAGGTGAACAAGGCGAGTGAACCAAGGAGACCCCTGAGCTCCTTCTGGACGAGCCTGCACGACTCTTGCGCTGCCATGAAACCCACAGTGCTGCAGGGAGGCTCACGGCCCAGGGGAGGCTCCGTTCAGCTGATGCCTCTGAACAGGTCAAAAGGCAGCCCAAGCAGAGCAAGTTCCCATGCCCTCAGCCAGCTGGAGTTTCCAGGAACAGCTGGAGTCGACATGCTGTACCTCACCTCAGCTATGCAGAATTCTCTCCTGAAGCCCACATTCAGGGATGAACTGAGGAGCACCTGGACACTGAGTCTTCAGAGGAAATCCTAACCCTGGTCTGTCTTTCAAAGGGCCAGGAGCACTTCTGCCTTATCAGGGTTTGTTTGCCCTGCCCTGCCCTGCCCACCCCACTTTTCGGAACTGGAAAAGCTGCTTTGGACTTTGCGAGAGAGACTGCGGCTGGCGTCCCCAGCAAGCTACACCACCAAATCCAAGGCTCCAGGCAAAAGCCTTGAGGCACCGGTCCGATGGGGGGCATCAGAAGGCACATTCTGAATTAATTACTTAGTTAACTCTCTGTAGCAGTGCCTGCCCTCTGGAATGGGGTTTCCCCCGAGATCTGGATGCCCCCCCCCGCTTTGTTTAGAAGAGCTGTGAAGACCTGGCTCTGCACCCAGGCCTCTGGCGAGGGAGGGTGAGATCCCTCCCTTCATCATGCTTGCCAAATTCTTTTACCTTAATCTTTTATTGATTTTATTGCAATTTCTTTGATTGTTGTGAGCTAGTAACAGTAATAACAGTAATCTTCAGGGAACGGCCAGGGACATCAACGGAACAAGTCCTTCAGGCTCCATCCTTGTCAGCCATTTCTGCAGGTTATTGAAAGCCACCCAGGGGTCCAACAGAGCCATCAAGGACACAGTCCGTCTGTCTAATTCTGGTCAGGCGATGTTAATGATGGTGACCCAAAGAGACTGGGCTAGACTGAAACGGGCCTCAACAGTTCACTTCATCCTATATCTCTGTTTTCAGAGCTATAGTGGTGCTTAAAAGTCTGTGAACCCTTTTGAATTTTCTGCATAAATGTGACCTAAAACGTTATCTGTTCTCCACACAAGTCTTAAAACTAGATAACGTGAATCCAATTAAACAAATCAGTCAAAAACACTATACTTGTTCATTTATTTGTTGAGGAAAATGATCCAAAGCTACACATATTGTTTTTGACTTATTTATGCAGAAATACTGAAAATTCAAAAAGGTTCACAAACTTTTAGGCAGCAACGTACCTCCTCAGAAATGGGTTTGCACGTTCAGAAGTTTCATCAGCCCAAAGTAGGTGGCAAAACGATAGCAGCACCTGCGACATCTTCCAGGCAAGCCGATGCCAAGAAAGAAAACCCAAGTTCTATAAGCCTCCAGAGCCCAGACACATTCATGGTTCAGGGCAGCGCAAGCAGTACACTGGGAACACAAAGGCTGCGCTTGCACAATAACACACTTAACTTGGTTAGTAACTGTGTTTGCCCCAGACACTGGTCCCTAAACTAACCACACAGGCTGGGTTCCTGCAACTCACTGTGCCAATCAGAGCCCAATGAAAGTTAAAAATAACCTAGTTTGGCCTGTTGCACCAGTGCCGTCTGGCTTAAGCATATCATACAAATCAGTCAAAGAATGTCAAACCGCCTCCTCCAGCAGCCCTTTTCACACCCACCTTTCGGATGTTGTACAGAGAGCTGGCAATGGAGATCAGAGACATGATCACAATGGCTATTGCATAGTAATAATATTCATCCGTGCACCAGAGGATCACACTGAATAGCTGGAAAATGTAAAAAGGATTGAGGACCTGTGGGG